TCCCGGCGCGAGGATCGCGCGAGAACCGCCCGTCCTCTAGCTCCGCCCCCGCTCTTTCTTTGTTTCCTTGTCTGGAGATTTCGCGAGAGCTGGGCGGTAAATCTCGCGATCACGGGTTCGGGCCGGCTCTGCGGCTCTCGCGGTGTTTGCGCGAGACTGCGCCCTTCCTTCCTCCCGGCTAGGCGGCCGCTTTCCTCTCCTTCCCCGCCCGGTCTCCCCTCCTTCCCCGCGGCCCATCTCCGCGGGCTAATATGGTCTCCGGCCATGGACGCCCCAAGTGCAGGTCAGTTCCGTCTGCCGCCTGGGGTCTGGCAGCTGCAGGAGCTCAGCCCGGCGCCGGGTCCCTGCTTCTCTGTTCTGGAGTCGACTGGCCGGCGCGCGGGCCTTGGGCTCGGGTCGCTTCCCGGGCCTGCCCTCCGGGCCCACCCCCGCCCGGGCCCCTCCGGCCCCGAGCCCCGTTAGGGTCTGGGAGGCCCGTCGGTTCCACAGTAGGGCGGGGGCAGGGTCTCCGGCCCCCTCCCGGTCTCTTGGCCCCTGGAAGCGGAGTGGGAGGCGGTCAAGGCCGGGCGTCGGTGGGACAGCCCCCGGACCACGTACTGCAGCGCCGGGCCTCCTCCGCGTCCCCCGCGCCGTCCCGACCCTAAGGAGCGGAAGGCGCCGCAGGTTCTGCCAGCGGGCTGTGCTGGTCTCCGTCTCGGACCCAGGGCCCCGCCATGCCTAGGGTCCTGGGCACCCACCGCCGAGTCCTCACAAAGGGCCGAAAGGTGCCTTCCCTCGAGGCCGCCTCCCGGCCCTCCCCGAGAACGTCCGGACCCGGAGGTCCCAGACTTCGCAGGGTCAGCTTCGATTCGTGCAAAACCAGAAAGACCCGTCTCATTTGGGGAGAATCTGCCCATTTACCTGAATGTTTTGTTGCTCACTTTTACCTTCGAACTCCAGACCAATATTGAGGTCACACCTGTTAAGTGTTGGGTTCGGTTGGGTTTTGATCTTGTCATGTTGTTGAATGCTTTACCCAAATCTTGCGTTTTGATTTTTTTTTTTTTTAAATCATTCCCTGTAACATAATTGTGGCGTTCTCAAATTGCTGTCTGTACTTATGAAATATTCAGGACATGTTTTCCCCAAACGTGCCTATACATCATTTAAATCATCCTCATTGTCTCTTTCCAGGTATTTGTTATCACAATTTGCACTTAATTCTGTTACCAGTTTTTACTTGCTAAGAATCATGGTTGAGAACTGGACTGTCCCAATTCAGTGGATACTAGACAGATTAAAATTAATTAAAAATTTAAAAATCCAGTTCCTCAGTCGCTGTAGCCACATTTCAAGTGCTTAGTAAGTCATATGGTTAATTGCACAGGGCAAATACACAACATTTTTATCATTGCAGAAAATTCTATTGGCTAAAGTTGATTGCCAGATATTTTCACTTTGAGTAAGTTACTTTGTAGCTGTGTTTAATGAAAGTTTATTTTCTTTTCCAGGATACACCTTTGAGTACCTTATTGAAACATTAAATGACAGTTCATGCAAGAAGTTCTTCAATGTACCTAAACTTGGAGGCACCAAGTATGGTAATGTTGCTTAAATTTTCTTGGGCTTCTTTAGTTTCTAATAGTAAAAAAATGCATTTGTCAAGCTGAGCTGAAAAAAATTGAAGTCCATTTCCACCATGTTATAACAGGTAGAACTACACATATCTCTAACATTTTAAAAACTCTTGGGAGAACTTTTATTTGAGAAAGATAAAAGGTTATACCTTAACTTTTCATTTAAAAATCTACATTAATTAAGCAATGATTTTTTTTAACCCAAAGAAACTACTAATGCAATTTTAAAAACCTGGCCGATGATATTCTATAGCTATTAATTGTACGCTTTAATTTTTCAAGTGACTGATGCCCATAATTCGTTGTCTGCCATCCTTTGCATAGTAATCATCAGTAGGGCCTGCGATTAGAGTTCTTTTTGGGGACTAGCCTTGGTTTCCCTGGTCTGTACACCAACACTTTGGCAGACCTTTGCAGGCACTTGATCAGGGTCCAGCTGTTCACTGAAGTTTCAGAAGAGTGAACTTGGCTGAACCCCAGGGTATTGGATGGAAGTCTTGACTTTATTGACAGTTGAGTGACTTTCTCAGTCGGGCCAATGAAGGGAAGACCTGCTTGGAAGAGTGATGATGATTGTCAGACTTTTTAGTAAAAGTGACTTGAAAAGATAAATGTCAGATATATTGTAGTCAGTTTTGGAGGGAGCTTTTCTTTATCTTGTCCTTTTTGCTTCTTGCATTATTTAAGATACTTTTGTTACTTTTTTTCTCGGTGGATTTTGATGGGCTGGAATATTCTAGACAGCCACTAGCAGTATTTTCTCACACATTGTGAGAGGATTTCGATGTTTTAGAGTATCTTAGAAGATCCTTATCTTAGAATTCTGTTGCCATTCAAACACAAACAGTTCACCACAGTGATTGCCTTTTTAGTGATGTGGGACTGCCTGTCTGGTATTCTAGTACAACTGACTACAACCTCAGAAATTTTGGGTGATTCTCTCAACTAGATCTTTGAATTTGAAAATAGACCTTTTTCCAAGGAGGGGAGAAATCACTGTCACCTGGTAAGAGAGGCTTTTCTGAAGTAACTGGGACTTAAGTTGATGTTAAATAGAGGGGTCACAGAGGACAATCAGCACCCAGGAAATGAGATTGAACAGCACGGTGGGAACATCAATGATGTTGAGTTAATGGGGGAGATAGTGAAGAGACTGTCCTGGCTGTAGTGAAACATTTTAGAGTGAGTGCTTTTGGGTGGTTGGCCCGTTAGCTGGCTTTGTCTCATCTTCTCTTTATTTCAGGTCGTCTCACTTGCCCTTTCTTTTATCCCTTCCTAATTTCTTGTTTTTTTTAACCACAGCACTGATTAGTTCTATAATAGACCCAGAACTTGGCTTTCAAATCTGAAAGAAAATCTTTAATTTTTTTGGAACATTTTTATGGTTTATAAGAAATTAGATTGGGTTTGAGAATCACAAAAAGACAAGAACATTACAGGCAACGCAGAAAACCAACTCATTTTTATGTGTAGGTACTAACACATGTAAATGTGCTGCTTTTAACAAAAGGTAAGTGCTGTTCTGTAACGCTTTTTAACATATCATGAGCATCTTTCCATGCCACTAAATGCAGGTATCCCTTGATAATCGGGATCTCCTGAGTCAGGGAGCATAAGCTATTAGAAATAGGTACCTGTACTGCTTCTCATCGCTGCAGTGTTTCCTTTGTGAATGCCTCTGGGTTTAGTTAGCAGATGTTTGAATATTGAGGTTATTGCCAACATCTTCCTATTTATAAGTAAAGTTGCTGTGCATGTGTAATATTTAAGTTTTGATGCAAGCTTATAGAATTGTTGGGTTGAAAGTGTGGTGTTCCCTCCACCCTCAACAAATGCTTTTCTTTTTATACTTTTACTGTATATCACCTGTTCCAGTCTTTACTCTTGAATATAAGGAACAAAAACTCATTTAACTCAGTACTCAAGTAAAGAAGTTGTTGCAGTTTGCTGACATCCAAAGACAGGAAGAAAGCACAGTCACGCCTCATGGGAACCAGAGTTTCTAAGCCAGAGTGTTCTGCTTGTCCCTTGAAGGCAGCCTGGCTTTATCCCTGAATCTTTGAATATCTGCTCTCTAGTTTTCTACCTACAGCCCATTTACTCTTTTGGGATAACGCCCAACATAGCCACTGCTGGCCATTCTTTGTATATTATGATTGGCTCACCAGCCAGTTAAGACTTTTCCACCTACTATATTAATCTGATTTGTCTGGGCTTGTCAGGTGTCTGTTGCTATATGTGATTGCTCCATCTGTAGGAATTTCCACAAAACCCTTGTACAGTATCTATTTGTCTTCACTGCATTGCTTTGTGAAAGGCAGGGAAGACAATCCTATCTCCACTTAATAGAAATGAGGAGAGTGAAACTAAGAATCTAAGTAATTTGCCTAAAGTTACATATCTTCTAAGTGAAGAATGTGGTCTTAGACTCATATCTTCTGATTTTAGACCAGTACGCTTTCCCCCTTAATACCATTCTGTTTCCCAGATTAGTAATAGGAGTAGTAAAGCTGCCTGTGTTTATTGATTATTTACTATATTCATCTTGTAAGATAAGCTCTGATCTACTTGACTAGGGTGCCACTACCAGGTGCCATTACCTCCTCCATGGTGGAAGAGAAACTTGAACAAAGCTCTTCCTCTGAAGCCTCTGCTTGTAAAACCTACACTCCCAGGGGTTGCTGTCCTGTGTGCATGAGGACCACAGGGCAACGCAAACCAGGGGAATGGCCCTGGTCATAACTGTGGCAAACATGAAGGGTAAGGCTACTCAGTTTCAGCAGAACTGTGACGTCAATGTGTTGTAAAATGTTCTGATATGTGAAAAATTTCTGGATTTTCAGTTGGCAGTTACATTTTAAATGTTAAAATGCGGTGCAGAACAAAGAAAACGTCATCAGGCCAGCAGTTTGTGACCTCTGTCCTGCGCGGTGCTGTGTTGCCTAACCTCAGTAGCAGCCTTTTAGCCTTGAAGAGCAGGATCTGCAGCCCCGGAGGCCGGGACCTGCCTTCTCAGCTGCCTGCATGTGCAGTGGCAGCTTGGCATCTGTTTCCAGAGCCCCAGCCACCTGTTGGATTTTCCTCCACCAAGCAGTTGACCAAAAGGATATCTATTGTTATCAGCTCATTTCAGAAGTGTGATAACACGAACTATTATACTTTTCCAGTTTTAAGTTACCATCTTGTCCTGGTTCCCACATGTCTTTTTGATTATCTGTCGTTAGAGGATTAGCTTTCCGGATTCTTAGAATTCTAGAAATTCCTGGTTAGGAGAGGCAGAATTAATCCAGTGCAGTTTTCTACTTGGTGCATGACTCTCTCCTCAATACTTTAATTCAGTCAGTTAACATTTATGGCAAATGAAAGATGGCTGAGGTAGCATCTTTGTGCTGAGGAAAGCACACAATTTAGTAATGGGGACGTGAACGGGAAGTATGTAAGTACAGCACTTTAGCTGTAGCAGTCTCCCATCATGAGATACAACAGAGGAAGTTTAACATAAATGATTATTAATTGATGAAAGAGTACAGTAGTCCCCCTTTATGTGCGGTTTCAGTTACCCACAGTCAATTGCAGCCCAGAAATACTAAATGGAAAATTTTGGAAATAAACAATTCATAAGTTTTAGGTTGTGTGCTGTTATGAGTAGTGATGAAATTTTGCTCCATCCTGCTCCGTTCCTTCCGGGATGTGAATAGTCCCTCTATCCAGTGTCTCCACGCTGTCTGTGCTCCCACCCTTTAGTCACTGAGTAGTCGTCTCAGTCACCAGATCGACTGTCCCGGTGTCGCAGTGCTTCTGTTGAGTTCACCTTACTTTATAACGGTCCCAAAGCACAGTAGTAGTGATGCTGGCAATTTGGACGCGCCAAAGAGATGCCATGAAGTGCTTTCTTTATGTGAAAAGTGAAAGTTTTCATCTTAAGGAAAGAACAATCGTATGTTGAGGTTACTAAGGTCTGTGGTAAGAATGAACCTGTGAAATTGCCTTATTTATAGATAAACCTTTATCATATGTATGTATATATTGGAAAAAACATAGTTCCTCCAGGATTAGGTACTATCTGGTGGTTTCAGGCATCCACTGGGGGTCCTGGAATATGACCCAGCAAATAAGGGGACTGTCATTGTAAGATGTAAGGAAACGACATGGCACTTGGGGCTGGTGGAGACTACCCAAAGGACAAAGTTGGAAGGGGTTCCGACCTCAGGAGAAGGTACGGCTTAGCCCACTGAATAGCAGAAAAGTTGGCTGGTGTGACCTGACCAGAGCTGGTCTGGGTTGCTGGGCAAGCAGGGGACGCAGGGGCCAGCACTGGTGCTGTGGGCACTGATTGGAAAGATGTTGGGGCTGCAGTCATCTGAAGGCCTGACTGGGCTGGAGGATCTGCCTCCGAGGCAGCGTTGGGAGGCTGGCGTGGTGCTCACCGTTGGATAGAGGCCTTAGTTTTGTCCCTCGAGTGCCTCTTCCCTGTGCTGCTGGGTTGTCTTCACAAAGGCTGCCAGCCTCTTCGAGAGTGAGGATGCGTTTTATAATCAGCCTCAGCCTCACACACTGTCCTCTGCCATACTCCATTGGTCACACAGACAGCCCATCTGCAGTGTAGACAGTCACATGGCATGACTGTCAGGACCTGGGATTACTGGTGTCCTGGAGACTGCCACATAGAGAAATAACAACTCTGTAGGGGTTTTTGTTTGAGGGGAGGGGTTCTTACAGATTTGTATCTTTCCTTGAGGTAGTTATGGATTGAGACAAATTTGTAAAAGTTAGTGCTTTTTTTAAAAAAAATATGTTTTTATTGATTTTAGAGAAAGAGGAAGGGGGAGGGATAGAGAGATAGAAACATCAATAAGAGAAGCATCAATCAGCTGCCTCCTGCACACCCCCTACCTTGGGATCAAGCCCTCAACTCCTCAACCCCTCAACCCCTCAACCCCTCAACCCCGGGCATGTGCCCTGACCGGGAATTGAACCAGTGACCTCTTGATTCATTGGTTGACTGTAAACCGCTGAGCCACACCGGCCAGGCACGATAGTGCTTCTTAAACACAAAATGTTCTGTTAACATTTGTGATTCACCTTTTTCTCATAATTCTTAATTTAATATTTAATTATTTTTTTAAATAATAGAGTTAAAACCTACTAACATAGTCCCTTGCCTACCTCCTATTTCTACTCTGAAGAGAATACTGTTTTTCAATTCTTTTGGCTATTTCTTTTGGTAATTTCTTCTATATTATTAAACAGCTTTGTTTATACAGTTATTTCTTGAGTTTCCAATTTTAGACAATACTTTCTTGTGTGGAAAGTGAGAATATACTTTTCTCTCCTCCATATACCCCATGTGCCTCGTTCTGGAATAGTTCCCGTAATTTTTGGTTAAGTCAGTATTTAGTGCTTATGCTATTATGAATAAATATTCTCAGCCAATCCATGCAGTAGGTGATTGTATCTCATTTCCCTTACAACTTTGTATTTTTTCTTGGAATTAATGATTGCCTTTTTTCATTTGCTTAGTTTTCTATGTCCTCATCAATAATTCATATCCGAAAGAACTGAACCCTCCCAGTATAATCAGGTAATCTATCAATTAACATTTCCCTTCTCTTGGCAGCGCCCCATCTGGACTTGGTCTGCTGCCCCATCCCGGCCTGATTGCACTCAGCTCACACAGCCGCGTCCTCGAGGAGCCTCTGCTCTCTCGTGTTAGACTGTGGCCTGGATTCCATGGTCTTCTGTTCTCCATTTACCTGCTTGTCTTACACAATGTATCCTCCAGTAGCTAGCTGCCTGTGATTAGTTGTTAGTTTGCCTGGCTATGAATTTCTAGGTTGGAAATTATTTCACTTAGAATTTTGAAGGCATTGTTTCCTTGCCATCTACCTTCTCCCTCTCCTCATTTCGGTTCCTGTCTTTGTTTCTAATTGTGTTTCTCTATACCCTGCTCAGCCCATTGCCAGTCACCCAGCACGGTTTCCCAAAATTTTGTTAGTTTTGCTTCTCCCTGTCCCTATGGGTTTATAACTTTTTTATTTCTTTACTATTATTTTAGTGGGTTTCAGGAAGGAGTGGAGATAATTGCAGGTGTTTTTGTTACCATATTTTACTAGAAATCTGATCATGAAGATACTCTATAACAAAAATATTCCTGAATTGTTTTTCCAGAATAACCAGATACAGAGTTAACCTTGTATATTTGTCTCTGGGATATTTTTCTTCTCATTATTTCCAAATAGTCTATAAAAAAAATTTTACCCCTATAATTCTTCTTGGTTTGGGGGACTTCATTTTTTCTGATTGAGGTAAGGGTGGAAACTAATATTTAATACCTACTATTGGTCATAGTATATCTGAGGGTTTTAGTGTGCTGGGTGAGTGACGAGGTAAGATACTCTTCACTCCCTGTTAGGTAGCTGGCATCCCCATTTCAAATGAGAAAATGCAGCATCTTGAGTCCCTTCCATATAGTCGCACTTTATAGTAAATAGCAAATACAGGCTTTGATTCTAGTACCTCTGATTATGTCCTTTATTCTCTTTACTCACAACTTTATTCATCTTTAATTTGTGTGTTAGAATTTTCAAGTACAAAAGTAGGGAGACAGTAATACAATAACCCACCATGTATTTGTCACTTATCAACATTTTGCCAATCTTGTTCCACATATTCCATTTTTAAACCTGTAAATATACTTCAGTGTACATTTCTGATGTTTGAAAAGGCTTAAAAAACACCCATAATCTCAGTGCCTTTATTATACCTAACAATTAATAGTAATTCCTTAATGTGATATAAAAGCAGACCATATTCGTATTTTTCCGGTTATCTCAAATTTATATTTCTACAGTTGGTTTGTTGACAGTATCCAAACATGATCACACATAGCATTTGGCTGTTAATCTTTTAAGGCTTTGAAAAGTCTGTACTATCCCTCCTCTCATTTTCCATACCATTCTATGTTGAGAAAGTCAGGTTTTTTATTCTGGGTTTTTCTGATTGCTTTTTTGTAGTTTCATTTTACTGATACACTGTCCCTGTATTTCCTGCTGACTGTACATAACAGGTGGATGTTTGATTAGATTCAGGTTTACTTGTGTATGTATTTGTTTTTGCAATAACACTTCATAGTTGGTGTGCTTGTGTTTGCTGTTCGATCCAGAGGTACATGGTGTCCACAGCGTCCCACTTTCGGTGATGCTAAGTGGCTGTGGTTTTTATCAGCTTGGTCCATCCATCAGAAGCTCCCAGTCACGTATCACCTAATGATTTTAGGCCCCCACTTATAATCAGGGTCTAGATCCATGACTTCGTTAGGGGTTGCATGTTGTGATTTTCTAATTATATCAACTCTTCTACATTTATTAGCTGTAATTCTTCTATAATGAGGAACTTTCTCTAAACTATTTCATTACTTGAAATCAGGAGAGACAGGATTAATGATTGACTTTCCCCCTTTATTTGTCAGATTTTGGGGTAATGAGTTGCTCTAGCAACTTGCATTCATGATCGATGAAGGGTTTTTTAGAGTCATTATGAACCTAAGGGCTATTTTTATACATGATATATTTCAGTGAATTACAGTCATCATTCATTTTGATGCCCACATTGACCCATTAGTGTCCCCATTAGCCTTTGATGACTTGTTTTCTGACATGAGATGGTCCAGGCTCGCTCTGTGCATACCCTTCCCTAAGTGCGGCTGGCCATCTCTCCAAATGGAAAGAAACAGTGTTTAGAAACAAGCAAGCTGAATTGTTAGGGGGTTATTACTAGTGGATTATCATTGTTTCAGGCATTTTCACTGAACACAGCTAGGAAACATATTTTTAAGGTAGAGAAAAATAAATCCTAAGTTTGTAGCCATGATTCCAACTGAAATGTCAGGTTTTTTGTGTTGTTTTTTTTTAGCTTGGCCACTCTGATTTCTCACTTGTGCATCATTACTCTTGAAAAACTTTGGTTCCAGGACATAGTAACAAAAGTACTTCCTGCTTTCTTCTCGTTATACAGGTGGGATAAAAGTAGGTTTATGTTGTTCATATGGAAAATAATACAATAACTAATACATAATAATACAAGAATAAGCTGTCCGCATACTCACAACTGTAAACCTACTTTTGCCCCACCCTGTGTATATGACAATTTCAAAATGACAGTATCAGTGTTAATGCCCGAGTCTTTTTGTCCTTAGTGCATGCCCTGCTAGGAAGTTACAGCCAGAATAGTGTGGAATATATGCTGTGATTGTCAGTTTATCCTTTCATTGTTCT